CCTTTTTGATTTTCACTTATTTGCTGATGATGCTAATTTATTCTATAAACATAAGAATCTTGCTATTCTACAATCTAATATAAACAGTGAGTTATCTAATATTCATAATTGGCTTTGCGCAAATAGGCTCTCATTGAATGTAGACAAATCAAATTTTGTTGTTTTTCAGCCACCTCAAAGAAGATTACCTTTTAATCAAGAATTAACCTTGAATAATATAGCATTACAGCAAGAGAAATGTATCAAGTATCTTGGTATTTTTATTGATTCAAATCTCAGTTGGAAACCCCAGGTTGATAATATTGCAAAAAAGATAAAGAGAAGCGTTCGAGTTTTATCAAAACTTCGATATTACGTAAATATAAACATTCTAACCAACATTTATTATGCTTTAATTTACCCATATTTAATATATGGGATAACTGTTTGGGGTAATACATACCTTACAACTCTACAACCCCTTTTTGTTTTGCAGAAAAAATCTATGCGTATTATGACTTTCTCTAAATTTGATGACCACGCAAACCCTATCTTTAAGTCATTAAAAGTTATCAAGCTGTGTGATCTGGTTACACTGCATATTGCAGTGAAGTTTCCCACTCGCTAATAAACGCTTAAAAAATATTTTAACAATAACTTTCATCATTTGAATAGTTTGAAAATGTATGTGGAATAGGTTTAACTTAATGTTTAAGTTCCCTGTTTAAGAAATAGAAAACATACGAGTCTTCTCATTTCATGGGAATATCCTGAGTCTGCAATCATAACTTCAATTTTTGAATTGCAGAATAATTAGATGCACTATCTAGTGTATTATAAGATATCTATGCAGCAGTTACGATGGCAACATTTCAGTGACAGCCGGAATTAAATTTTCCATTTTCTCTGATTGGACTTTCAGAAATTAAATTTAAAGTTGATAAGGAACCTCTGACAAATATTAACATACAAGGATACAGTTTTATTTCACAACCTAGCCTTTCAAATGCAGGGGGTGTTGCTTTTTATATAAAGAATAATTTAAAATTTGGTATTCGGTTAGAATTCACCACTTCTAATCATGATTTTTGAGACCCTTTGGATAGAAATTCATCTTAATGGTCAACAAAATTTAATATGTGGAATAATATATCGGCACCCAAATGGAAACCTTGATAATTTCATGAGCTGTATAAAGTTGACAATAGATCAAATCTATCAAGAAAATAAACTTTGTATGATAATGGGGGATTTCAATATAGATCTTTTAAAATACGATTCCTATGCTGGCTCTGAAAATTTTATCAATACTCTTGGCTCTTTCTTTTTTCAACCTCAAATTCTACAACCAACTAGAATTACTGACCATTCATCCACTTTGATTGATAATATTTTCTTTAACTCAGTTGAACATTTTGTTATCAGTGGGAATTTAGTTTATGACCTGACAGATCATTTACCAAATTTTGTTATCTTTAATAAATTTTCTTCTCTTCCACCTGGTGTCAAAATATATAAAAGAGACTACTCTAAATTTGAGGAGAAAGGTTTAGTTACTGAATTGCAAGCTGTAAACTGGGAAACAAATTTTACATCCAATTGTAATCCGTCTAGTATGTTTGATTCTTTCTATGATAAAACATCAGAAATAATAGACAAACACATCCCCATAAAACAAATATCGAGAGGAGAATTGAAATTTAAATCAAAACTATTCAAATTGTAGAGGACAATGTTGAAATAACTGACCCAAAAATTATTGCTAATGCATTTAATAACTATTTTACAAACATAGGAAATAACCTGGCTAATTTAATACCAAAGGTTCCAAATTCACCATTAGAAAATCTAAAATCCCCATTACCAAATATAGCTTTTTTTATATTTCCCGCTACTACTAATGAAATTGAGACAGAAATATCCCAACTTAAGACTGGGAAGGCTGCTGGTCCTTTTAGTGTACCTATTTCTGTGCTTAAAATTCTTAGACAAGTAATTTCAAAGCCTTTGATAACCTTGTTCAACGCTTCTTTCGAAGTTGGTGTGGTCCCAACAAGTCTTAAATTGGCTAATGTAATACCTGTATACAAGAAGGGATCTCCTGCCTGCCTATGCAACTATCGCCCGATTTCCCTCCTGTCTATCTTTAGTAAACTATTAGAGAAGCTTGTTTGTAGCAGATTGTTAGATTTTCTTGATGACAATCAATTGTGTCTTATATGACAATCAATTTGGCTTCCGTACAAAATACTCTACAGATTATGCAGTTCTTAGTATAATTGACAAAATTCAAACAGCAATTGATGACCGTGATTTTTCATGTGGAATTTTTTTAGACTTTAGTAAAGCGTTCGATACTGTAAATCATGAAATTTTGATAAGAAAATTGGAGTATTATGGCGTAAGAGGTATAGCTCTTAATTGGTTCATATCGTATCTTGACAATCGTCAACAAACTGTTACAGTTAACAATGTAACTTCGAACACAACAACAGTTCCTGTGGTATTCCACAAGGATCTGTTCTTGGACCAGTACTATTTCTCCTTTATATTAACGACTTTCATCTTTCCTCATCCCTTTTTGATTTTCACTTATTTGCTGATGATGCTAATTTATTCTATAAACATAAGAATCTTGCTATTCTACAATCTAATATAAACAGTGAGTTATCTAATATTCATAATTGGCTTTGCGCAAATAGGCTCTCATTGAATGTAGACAAATCAAATTTTGTTGTTTTTCAGCCACCTCAAAGAAGATTACCTTTTAATCAAGAATTAACCTTGAATAATATAGCATTACAGCAAGAGAAATGTATCAAGTATCTTGGTATTTTTATTGATTCAAATCTCAGTTGGAAACCCCAGGTTGATAATATTGCAAAAAAGATAAAGAGAAGCGTTCGAGTTTTATCAAAACTTCGATATTACGTAAATATAAACATTCTAACCAACATTTATTATGCTTTAATTTACCCATATTTAATATATGGGATAACTGTTTGGGGTAATACATACCTTACAACTCTACAACCCCTTTTTGTTTTGCAGAAAAAATCTATGCGTATTATGACTTTCTCTAAATTTGATGACCACGCAAACCCTATCTTTAAGTCATTAAAAGTTATCAAGCTGTGTGATCTGGTTACACTGCATATTGCAGTTTTTATGTTTAAATTTCACAATCAAATGTTACCTTCTGCGTTCAGTTCCTTTTTTACTTCCGTTGAAACAATCCATAATTATAATACACGATCAACTGCAAATCAATCTTATTATCTTCCCAAAGCAAGGACAAATTACGGTAAATTTAATATTAGGTTTCAAGGACCTAAAGTCTGGACCTCGTTTGGTTTAGATTTTAAATCTGTCTCTTACATGAAATTTAAAAAAAAATTAAGAAAATAATTTTTAAGTAAATATTGATAATTTTTTTGGTTTTTTTTCTCCATTTGCAATAAGATTTAATATTAAGACTGATTTCTGCATGCTCGTCGTTTCAATTTTTTTATTATAATGAAAACTATGGTAGAACTTGTATTAGTGTATGTGTAAATATAGTATAGTTTTGTGTTTGTGTGTATAATGAGTACTGTATATCTTCGACCCGTAATGTAACTTAATTTATGTTTCCTGGCTTCCTAACTTTTTTAGCTTTTTAGTTATTTTAGGAAACCAGTACCTCTACACTTTTAAATATCAAACTTGTTAAAATTTTCTGTAACTGTTTATATGTAGGTAAATAAAAAATTGTTGTTGTTGTTGTTGTTGTTGTCAATTTAGGCCGTTTTCCACTAGGCGAAATTTTCCGCGCGGAGCGGAAATTTTCTTTGTCTTATGATTTCTCGGGTGGAACTAATTAGAAAGACAAAGAGAAATTCCGCTCCGCGCAGAAAGAATCGCCTAGTGGAAAACGGCCTTCATGGACAGAACAAACTACATATTTTGAGTATTTCAAAATGCGTGGGTTACCGGTGTTATTGTCGCTTTAAGGTGAACGCATTAATCATCCAGTCAGAGTCAGACAAATGGCTGGTGTGCACGTGCATCGTACGTGACTATGGTCACACGACAGTATGCAAATTCGTTCGGTTTTATTCCTTCAGACAGGAATCCGTACGGTTTGTACTGGTTGTATTTTCATCTATGACGTAAAATATACCAAATCTGTGGCCTTGTGAGTTAAATGATGTACTCACAGTAACTCAAATTTTTGAGTAAAATTACTCGATTTGAATTACTAAAAAATTATTTGCTTTACAAAAAAAAATTAGTAAATTTGCTAATAATGATTTGCCAAAAAGTAGTTTTATTTATTGGCAAATGTAATAATGATCTTTTTTACGCTCCGTTCACAAAGGACCGGATGAGAATTCCTTGTGTGATTAAGTGGAGCCTAACGAATCTTTGTACGGTTTCAAAGTCGTCCGATCCGGTGTGAAGGTAGGCTAAAGATTGAATTATTTTGCATTTTACTTTTGAACTTCCACTCCTTTCCCAAGCAGGGAATACAAGGAAGCGGCACAGTACAGAAAGTCTACACTATGTCTTTGAATCCGTTATCTCAATAAATATCATTCGAATGAATTGTCTATTCTCATTATATATGCTTGGGTGCTTTCCACGAATACGACACTTTGATCAAGGAAGTCGTTTTATGATTTTACTCGGACGAATTACCGTTACATCAGTTGAAATATAATTCAGCTGTAAGCAACTTGACACCAAAAAGATTGTTGGAATTTTAAGCTGGGCAAAAATTGCAACCATCGATTGAGCATTAACGTGGTTGTGTGAATAAATCATGATGTGGGACCATAGATATAGGAGATCTAGATTGCCAACGCATACCTAGCGCAGGCGGGGCCTACATGATAAATCCAAGATGGCGGTACAACAGGGCAAAAAGACTATAGATTCTATTACGAAAATCAGGATTTTTGCATTTTTTGCCGTCGCATTGTTTCGAAACTTATTCGGTCAAATTTTATGGTAAAGAGAAACTTACCGCGAAGATTTTGAGCATATATATGATTGAATTGGATGAAAAATCGCAAAATTATCCAGCGATAAAAGTTCGTGTGAAATGGTCAGTTGGTCAGTTGGAGCGTTTTATTGCCAGAAATACTGTGCTATGTTAACATCTAGCCTTGTGAATGGTGTTTTATACTTGCATCTCTCATCATCATCTGCTCTGTCCTCATAATTATGAAAAATGAACTGTTATGTAACCCCCCCCCCCCCCTCCTTGCTTGTTAGAGAAGTAAACTGATGAGAGCACTGGATGAGGGTCTATCATCTATGGTCTGTTATAATTTGCTTTTTATGCAAATAGTGAGCAAAAATTAAAGCAAAACTGTACAAGTTACATATATAGTACTATATCAGTACTATACACGAACTTTTATCGATGGATAATTTTGCGAGTTTTCATCCAATTCAATCATATATATGCTCAAAATCTTCGCGGTAAGTTTCTCTTTACCATAAAATTTGACCGAATAAGTTTCAAAACAATGCAACGGCAAAAAATGCAAAAATCCTGATTTTCGTAATAGAATTTATAGTCTTTTTGCCCTGTTGTACCGCCATCTTGGATTTATCATGTAGGCCCCGCCTGCGCTAGGTATGCGTTAGCAATCTAGATCTCCTATATCTATGTGTGGGACGTTAGCAATGATTATCATCACAAATGTTGCAGTTAAAGTCTGTCAAGTTATAAGTCATTGTTGCAAACTGTGCATTAGATTGTGCCAGGAATACAAAATTATAAAACGTAGCCCAGACAGAATGATGATTCAAAGGCCGTTCAACAATACTGAAGTTAACTCAACTTATTTTCCAATTCTTTTTGGTAAAATGACAGCGGTTATCTCAATGAAAATCCATACTTTCAAATGTTTGTGGAAGAAACAGTAATCAGTATAAACATTTTGAGAATCGTTGTATGGTGTTGCGCCATTAACATTATTGGACCCATTTGACCACAATGAAGGTCTTTGATTTCTAGAACGGTTTGAGTACCCTAACTAAACGAAATTACTCCTCATACTTTAGATAAATATCAGTAGCGGACACTTCACGAAATATTTTTTGGTGAGGGCGAAATTTTCAGCATGTTTGCCAAAAGAGGTTTCGGTGTCCGTTTAAGACTCTAGGTTATGCGAATCGTTCAGAACATGGGTCACTTGATGAAATGAATAACGAGTCCCCAATCTCGTTCTCCGAGCCTGCGATCCTAGGGAAGGAACGTGAGGCTCTGGAATAATTCGTTTCAGGGAGGAATCTGATTGGCCGTTGATTATGGAACGCACAGTTTGATCTTAGCCAGGATTCTTGGCTTCCGGAAACGGATTATCTCAGAGCCTCGCTTCATTCCCAAGGATCGCAGGCTCGGGGAACGAGATTGACGAGTCCCGATCGAGTTGTGCCATTTGACTGATAGTCTAGGACCTGTATAGGAGTTTGTATGCGTTTCATTTACCACAAGTGACCATTCATCACCCCAGGTAAATTGCTAATTATGCATAAAATAACTAATATGCCCATGCAATTAGATTAAAAATAACTAATATGCCCATGCATTGAAATTAAATATCCTTATTTCATAAAAAATTATCATGGGATGAAAAACTATGCTTAAATTAATATAATTATTGTAGTTTTCATAAGGATAATTTTATTGTCACTGTTTTCTATAAATACAATATATTTTATTTCACTTACCCCCACGAAAACACGATTTCAGCCATATTTTGTCGTCTTTGCTTGCTTTTTATCGCCGAGTCTAACAAATATCATCCAGTTGTTATACTTTTACATATGGTAATTGGCCAATGAAGATTTCAACCAAGTTTCGGCAAGTTTTGGAGCAGTGCAGTGTATTTTATCTTCGATATTGTGTCCTTCGATATTTCGTCTAATATGCTGCCATTTTAATGGCTAGCCGATTCTCTGCCCGATAAATGCCACTTCTTCGTTTTCATATGCATTTAGATTACAGTATACAAGAGTACTTTATTGTAGAATAGTCCCAATCGAAAAATTGAAAACATTAGTTGCACTTGGAAGGAAAAAACCTCCCGTAAACCATTTAGGTTCAAAATAAAAACAAATCATTTGAAAGTCACGCGCAATCTTAGCGAAAACTTCTCGTGGACACATGGCAGGGGGTGTATGAATATTTTCACGAAACGTTTGTTCGCCACCACAGCAACCTAACTAAATATATTGTATTTGTTGTATTTTTATGATTGATGACAAAACTACGCAAATATTTGTTGTTTTTGTCATGAATCATAAAAATACGATAAATACAATATATTTAGTTAGGTTGCGGTGGTGGCGAACAAACGTTTCGTGAAAAATTCACCCTCCTGTCATGTGTCCACGAGAAGTTTTCGCGAAGATTGCGCGTGACTTTCAAATGATTTGTTTTTATTTTGAACCTAAATGGTTTATGGGAGGTTTTTCCTTCCAAGTGCAACTAATGTTTTCAATTTTTTGATTGGGACTATTCTACAATGAAGTACTCTTGGATACTGTAATCTAAATACATATGAAAACGAAGAAGTGGGATTTATCGGGCAAAGAATCGGCGAGCCATTAAAATGGCGGCATATTAGACTAAATATCGAAGGACACATATCGAAGATAAAATACACAGCACTGTATCACAACTTGATGAACCTTGGTTGAAATATTCTTTAGCCATTTATGATTATGTAAAAGTACAACAACTGGATGTCATTTGCGAGACAAGGCGATAAAAAGCAAACAAGACGCCAAAATGTGGCTGAAGTCGTGTTTGCGTGGGGAGGGGGGGTAAGTAAAATATAATAGATCATATTTATAATATAATATATTATATTTATAGAAAACAATGACTATCATTTTGAAAACTACAATAGTCATATTAAACTAAGCATAGTTTTTCATCCCATGATAATTGTTTTTAGGAAATAAGGATATTTAATTTCTGCCATGCATAGTAGTTATTTTATGCATAATTAGCAATTTACCTGGTGTGATGCATGGTCATTTTCTTGTAAAATTTTTCCTTGCAATGACCACCCCTAAAAGCAACCCTTGTGTCTTGCCCCCTCCCCCCTAGTGTCCGCCACTGATTAATATGCTTGTATGCAGATTTTCCACTCCAAACGCGTCATTTAGAACACTACCTCCAAGATAAAAACTGGTACAATGTTTCTCCGAAATTACTGTAAATTACATTAACCAGGCTATTGTAGAAGTGAGATAAAATAACCAGGATATATAACCAGGAATGTTCAGATTACTGAGTTATTTCTAGGAAACAGGACATTTTTAACAAAACGTTTTTAGAGCGTACTTTTCCGATGATCGTGGAACCACAGATTTCTCATTGCCGCAGATTCTTCAAAAATCAAGACAGCTTTGAACTTGTTTAATTTTGCTTGAGGCAGTTGTTGAAATTTTGTTTGGCAGTTGTTGAAATATGATTACGTGATTGATATGTTTGTAATATTTCTTCCAATTGCAACGAGGAATGATGATGCGTGCATATGCCTTTATCCAATGAGATTAATGAAATATAGCGGTATAGCACACGTCAGTAAACTGGAACTATTTTTTAAAAATAAACCAGCGGCACAGAATATGAGAATAATAACAGCGACTTTTGCATTTAATTATAATGTTGCCAATGGCAATGATTGAATGAGAAAGTGAAGCCGGAAGCATCCATTTCGTGCGATTTTCTCTTTACTCACATTTTCGATTTGTTTCCCAACAACAGGCTTGTTGAAACTTAAGCTTGTTGTCACAGGACAAAAATTGTTTGTTGTGGACAGGTTTGTCGCAGGTCTGATAACAAGCTTGCTGCAGACTTGACAATCACAAATCGCGACAGGTCAGTTGGAAGAAGCTGTAACAACCTGTTGATTTCATCAGACTTGCTGCAAGTTGTTCTATCAGACCTGCGTGTTATCTCTTGCTAGTAACAGGTTTGTAACGGGTTGTTTCAAACGTCGCTACGGCTCTGTCGTCAACAGCTTGCGACAGACCTGTTCCCGCAAGCCTGTTACCGCCTTACGAAACCAACAGACCTGTCGCGACTTGTTGACAACTTGCCTCAAGCCGGTAAAATCAACAACTTGCGACAAGCCTGTGAGATTTCTGACTGTGCATGTATGAGCATAGAAGTTAAAGTCATAACCCTGACCCTGATCTTAACCTAACCCCTAACCTCTAACCCCCACCCTCTAACACCTAAACCTAAAGTTGATGACCTTTTTTAGATTTTTATCAGAAATGTACAAACAAGGTATTTTTATCGCTATTTGTTGTATTTGGTAAAATGTAAACAATAACAAAAGCCCGCAATGCATAGCCTGCGTAGCAGGCGATAGAAGCTAGAAATACCGCCTGCCCAAAAACTACACATTCTGAGTTCCGCCCACCGCATGGTCCCGCCCATCTTACAGTAATGTATTTATTTTAATTATTTGACTCACGTATTTACACCAGTGCAAATATACGACTTTGACGTTTCATATCTTCGGTTCATTCAATGCTATGAAGCCAAAAATACCACGTTCGATTCAGTGTAACAATATGTCCTCATTCATAGCGATAGTTTTAGTCGATGTCAACATTATAGCGATTTATGAGCTTTGAAAGTCAAGCAAGTTCGTGTATTATCAAATTACGCAGTTGTCTGAACAAAAATATAGACTAGCCATACCTTTCGCCGAACACAACTTCGGCCCCTTCAGACGTAACTTTGTAATAGGCTTGTTCCAATCGCTATCAAAAACACGACTTAGAGTGTCATTTACGAGCCTGTATCTTCAAATCTGCACTTTTATCACGGTATCACATCTTCAAGCAACAAATGTTGGATTGATATTCGTTGTTCATTCTTCAAGACCATTACCATTTTACCATTTACCATTTACCATTTTACCATTTACCATCTACCATTTTACGATATCGCTTTTTCCAAAGATCAGAAATATTAATACGAATAGACCAAGAGTAGTTAAATCACGTGACATTAGACCAAGCAACAAAATGGCCCTTGGGAGAGTTCTTTCAACAATTGATTGGTCGTGTTTGGATCTAATTAACTCTTGTGAGGGAAGGTTGACTTTTTTAACAAAATTGTATCTGATTCTCTTAATTTAATCATGCCGATAAAAATCAGGACTATACATAATAATGATGCCCCCTGGATGTCCGACAAACTTAAACGTTCGATTAAGAATCGGCAGCGAGCCTTACAATCAGGGAACAGTATTGAATTTAAATATTATCGCAATGTAGTTAACATGGAACGAAAGAAATGCAAGTCCTCCTACTATGATTGCAAGATTAAAAACCTGAAGCATGTTAAGCCTAGGAACTGGTGGAGTGCAGTTAAAAAAATAAGTGGAATGGATGCAATCACCAAATCTGATCTTCGCTCCAATTTACAAATTGATGACCTCGATAACTTAAGTGATATCGAGGTTGCAAATAAAATTAATGGCAAGTTTCTGGAACCACTCCAAGAGTTTCAACCGTTGCAAATCACAGTACCAAACAACGACTCCATTTCAAATGTCCTGACAGTGTCTGAACTGGACGTCTGGAATTGTTTAAACTCACTCAATCCCTGGAAGTCAGGTGGGCCTGATAATATCCCGTCTTGGGTTCTTAAAGAATATGCAATGATTCTCTCATTACCAGTGATGAAAATCATAAAATGAATCAATAGCTATAAAATAAAGTATTTTCGAGCAGTTGCTGCGTAACGTATAGTATTGCGTAAGTTGCACTATTGCGCAAATTAGTAAATTGACACTTAGTTAATGAGGAATTTCCATGATAACGCATTAAAAGCAGCTAAATCTGCTACTTATGAATACAACAAAGCACATACGCGCAAGCTATAACTCATTAACATTTAAATTTAGAATGACTTTTACTTTTTAAACAATACTAACGAAATAAAAAATAAATGAAACTTATAATTGCATGCAGATGTCCAAAAAGTGTTACTTTTGAGATTTTTTAATGCCAGTTTTGTACCTTTAGAATTCTGTTCATCTTCTCCCAAAATGCAGGAAATGGCATTTCAGACACTCCAGATTTTCCGGGGGGCATGCCCCCGAACTCCCTAGGTCAACGCCTGCCAAAGGCAGGCGTCAGCCCGCCGTCGGCGGGCTATATGACTCAGAGTACAGGAAATAACTAAATCTCACTCATTTTCATACCACAAAGTTGGAAGGTCTGCATTCTGACCAATCAGATACCGCCTGCCATGCAGGCTACCAATCAAAATGCTCCGGCACCCAGCTGCCGGAGAGAACTCAGAATGTGTAGTTTTTGGGCAGGCGGTATTTCAAGCTTCCCATTCTCTCGTGCCCACGAATACCGCCTGCTAACAGGCTAGTAATGCATGACCTTGACACTAATCATTTAAGTAAGCGACATTGTTGTCAACTGGACGTCACATTGCCACAGGGGGACTGGATTAAAAATGATGTTTCTGTCAATTTGCGGAACTCTTCAACACATATCACAAACATAAGAACTTTGCTTCCTTGTGCGAGCGTTATGAAGCAAAACGCGGCCAAAATTAGTTATACCGACAACAACGTTCGGATGACGACCGCGTTGACAAAAAAACATCGCTTGCTTAAACTCACTATTAATTTGAAAGAGGAATTTGAATACAACATCTCGTATGTCTAAGTGTCTCGTATGTCTAACTGTTAACTTCAGCCTGCACTGGTGGTACATCGTTATTGTTTTGGTCCCCGTTGTTGAAACGATTTTTATACAGTTTATGAACTCTAGCGTTCCATAAGAAAGCAACTGCAACGTATAGTCCTTGTAAGCAGACAAAAATAACGAACAGATATTCAAATACAACGATATTTCCCAACCCAGCATGTAAGAATCCGAAAATCCAAGGAAAACCAGTCAGGGTAGACAATTTTATGCAGATTTTCAGATTTTGTTTTCTGCTTTCATGAAGCTCTCCCGTGGACTCTTGCTGTTTTAGCAAAAATATTGCTGTACGAATAAATATTGAGAGGTTGAAAAGAATTGACAAGCCTATTGGCAATATAAACAAGTAAATCTTGGAATTCTTTGTCGCCAAGAAACAAATAGTACCATAGTTGATAGGAAATACTTTTGTCTTGTCCAGTGCAATACAAACAGCAACAAATGTGGCTGGTAATGTCCAAACGACAGCTGTATACTTTATAAAGATAACGTAGTTTTCCCCGTCGCTTCTTCTTGCTGAGATTAAGTTCTTCGAAAAAACAACGCATGAGCGATGAGAAATAGCAGACATGGCGACGAACGATGCAAGAATGAAGTAATGTTCCATGACGCCGATGATGGTACAAGCAGTTGCACTTTCTTTTACATATGAACGAACCAACCAAACAGATTGATATATTAACAACGACAGACACAAATTCATCAAATTTTTTCCAGGAAGAGTTCTCAGTTCCGAGAACAATGTGTAAGTTATTAGAACAAGGAGAATTGAAAGAATGGAAATAATAAACCCAACCATCGTTAAAATCTCCAAAGGTTGTTTATGATTGTCATGGTAAATTGCGGACCTGATGATACTGATAGGTATATTTGGAAGACAAATAAAAACTGTTGAATTTCTGAGTGATGACTTTGAAAAGTCGTCAATCAATGTACTGACATTTGCGTCGTCAACAACATCACCAGCAGCGTCATCATTTCTTTTTACGTAATACTTTCCGAAAGGATACATCCGGTTTGTTGCATTGTGGTATAAAGTTAAGTTAGTAAGAATAACGTATTCACGTCCGGAAATGTTAAGCCATGCTTCACAATCAGAGAAAATTGTTTGAGGACAAAGTGTTATATTCTCTTCCGTCTTCTCTATTACGTCTTTCAACAAGAACGTCTTTCCTGTTTTGTTTTCAATTACTTTGCCATTGTTTTCGTCTATTTTGTATTCGTTGATTGAGAACGTCTTTTGTCCAACACAAGCAAGTTGTCTTACAAGAGCATTAATCACCAACAAATTTGATCCAAGATATGATATATCTTTCATCTGTTTTGGAAGCAGTGAAAAGCTGTCGATTGTATCATTGCTTTGGCTCAACCGCGCCAGGACTTGAAATGGAGTCAGTGTAACTCGAAACGTAACAACAATGTATCTTTTGTTTCTTATTTTATCACAAGTTTGCTCGTAAGTACTCGTGGCGGATACTTGTTTAGGTTTCAATTTAAGAACTGTTTCCAACTTTTTTTCCAAAACTTTCTCCATGGGCATTGGTGTTGGATAACTGGTAGGTTGGCCTGGAGGCCCGGGAGGGCTTGGATGGCCAGGAAAGTCTGCAGAGCATGACCAGTATGAACAACTTTGGACTAGCCACAAAGCAATAAAATACTGATTTGATAAAACATCGTCGACGGAAATTACCTTACCCTTTATACGGCAAAACCCTAAGTTTTTGTCAAATACCAAGTCAGATCCACATTTTCGTTTCATGTTTATAGTAGCTTTGGAAGAAGTTTTTTCGACATGAAATACTGTTGAAAATCGGCCATCATTCCACCCCGGACAACCCAGACTTCCCTCTTGACTTCCCGAACTATGAGGACACTTTTTGTTTAATTTCCATTGACTTATGTCAGTGAATCCGCGACATAACGCGCATGCTTTGTTCTTGAAGTAACGTTTTCCATCAGAAACAACTTCCACAGGTCCATTCACACAAGTATAGTGCGATGGGTGAGAGGAGTTGGAACATCCTCCCGTATCATTTTTAATGATGCAGTATCGTCGTGGTTGGTCGCTACTTGGTTCGGTTTTTGGAATCTTTCCCCCTTGTTTTATCATTAATTTTAGTCCTGCTTCAAGGTCATATTCAGCAGGAAGTGTTATGTAGGTGAGAATCCGAATGTTCCAGCTACTGTATCTTGTTATTCCGTGACAAACGGCGCAATATTCGTTACGATAAGTAATGGTGTTCTTGCCAACTACTGGAAGATACTTCGCGATAGGAAAGGAAAAGTTGCTTGGAGGATTTTCACAGTCGAACTTCGTTTCATCAGATGGCCAGTTCAGTGGACACTTCTGGATCATCCAAACGCCTTGAATTCCGCAATGTTTAGAATGTTCATGAACATACGTAGTTGTAACACATGTCCATGTGGACTCTTCTGTGTTAATGATGCTGGAAGGTTGCACTGTTTGGTTTCCACAACGCTTCTCGTAATCAGTACAGCAGTCGTAAAAGGTTTCAAAGCAAGCGTTGTCATAGTAACAACTGAATTTGTTCTTAAAAACTGCCTTTTTACGCGTACATGTACTTGAACTATAATCTCTCTTTGTATTTCTTTTTTGTCTGTCCCTTGGTGCTTCTGGAATTCTGTTCCATACTTCGTACTCGTTAAAAAGTTGATATTTCTCATTATCTTTATTCCTGTTCTCCAAAATATCAACACCACCTTTCGGTGAAATTGTTTTTACTACGTTTCCTTTCCATTTAAAAGGCAGCAATCCCTCTCCGACGATCTGAATGAATGTAACAGCGAAGACCAACACAATGTTCCGACGCATCACACCGAAGGATTCGTGAAATCCTCAAAATCCAAATTGTTATTGTTTCTATGTTATAATGGCTGTATGGTATATCAGCCGCTTTGACTAAAAATTATTATTTTGTAGTTACGAAGTCCCACAAAGATATACTACTCGGCTACACTGTTTGTCTTAAATGAACAGCAGCACGATAATGACAAGTGTCAACGTTGTGTGATCAATCTGAATGACTGAATTTGATCATTATATCGAACTGTTTCTATCTTTGTGATCGTAGCAATTGAATAGCTCAATGATTAATTTTGTACTGTTTATTCGACAATTTTCTTATTTGGAATTTTCTTTTAAATTATTTCTCCACTTCGTCTGGTGTTATGACAATTTATATAAATAATCAGTGGCGTAGTCAGCCCGACGCGATTCAGTCCCGCTATGCAAATATTGCCATGTTTATAAACTATCAACACAATCAATTTCTAAAGAAATGAATAATGTTGAAATTTCTATAGCGGGACCAAATCGTCGGGCTGGCTACGCCACTGTACAGGTAATCGCGTTGTGGAACTTTGAAAACACAAGTGAAGTTGAACCTTTATTTCAGAGGCCAAAATTTATTCGTAAGTAAAATTAATACGCATCTAAACTGTTGTGGAGTGACATGTCCGAAACGGTGTTTATTTCTTTCACTAACTTTATTAATGTTGATCAATCAATCGCGACATATTACAAGCTTGCATAAATTAGCTATGCACGTCAACAATATGAGGAAGCCATTTATATGTCAACGAAACAGACATGAAAAGTCTGAATCATTTCTAAAATATTCCAACCCATAAATTTGTACATTTTCTAATGTTCGAGTTTTCACTAGAAGTTTGATCTGTTCTAAAAGACCACACGAGTCAGAACACGAGTGAACACGAGACAACACGAGTGAACACGAGTCAAAAATTTGTGAACACGAGTGAACACGAGAAAAAAATTGTGAACACGAGTCAAAAACTGACGAACACGAGTGAACACGAGTCAAAAATGACGAACACGAGTGAACACGAGTCAAAAGTCTGTGAATACGAGTCAAAAACGCATTCTAAAGAGGCTCCCTACAGTTTTAAGCCCGTGATAAAGGTTTGTACTGTGTAATTGCATGCGGGATAT